AGTTGATAAAAAAACACTAATGTGAAAATTATAGATACTTACATTCAACCGAACATTCAACTGAATGTATATGAGGTTTAATTGAAAAAAAGCCTATATAACTTCTCATCGAAATATTTCACTGTTTCATTTTGAAAATGGAAAAAATGTGTGGATTTTGTCTGATCAAAGGAAGCCAATATGAAATAATTGAAAACCTGCTAAAAGACTCATTGTATACATTGCTGATACCATTGGCAATTTCAATGATTCCTTATTTCACATAACTCAACAGCACTCCGCCATTAATTTCGTTTTCTCTATCTTGCTTCATCATCGAAAAATTTGGGAATTTGGAAACACTGTTGACAAGATCTTATAGATCAGAGGACATGGAAGAGGACAGAATGTTTGTCTTCAGGAATTTTCTTGGAGTAGTCAGGAAGTGAAAATCTCAAAAGTCATCGGAATTACGAGGTGAGCCAAGTGCAAGTGTAACGGTACGTCACAGCAAAAAAGTAGCTGATAAAATTGTATACAAATTGTATCAGTCGGATATTTCCCCTTTCTTTCATAGTTTTCGAAATATTTACTAGCGAATTATGTACATTTTTGAAAATCTAGCGCATTTTGACGGCTCAACCACCAAAGTCTTCGACGAAGAAGTCGCAAAAGATTCAATTTCCTTCAAAATGTTATTTCATCTACAGGGTGTTTCATTACAAATTGGAAATATTTCAACCATAGAATCCCGAACTCAAAATATGAAGATTTAACCCAAATCACCTAGATAAAATATGTCTCCTGTCTGAGTTACAAGGTGTTTTATTAAAAAATTTTGAAATGTTTTTTGTCCAGTTCTTCAAAACTATTTGACGAATCACTTTCATGTTTGGATGTTTGGAGGGAAGTGTAGGTATTATACATCCAACTGAATTATGTGAAATGAACTTTTCTAGCTATTACCAGAGGTGTACGACAGGGGCAAGTGACTGGTTGATCCTTCCCAAATTCTACGCCAATTTTGACGTAGATATTGTACTCTTTCTCCATGGCGATAAAGTCATTATTTTTCGAGATATTTCAAGTTGAACATAAATCTGCACAATCATTTTAATTTCAATGTGCATTAATTTTGTCAATATTTTGGATCAATGGATTGTATTCATCAATGAAATGAAACTTCAATCCATATTAACAATAAAAACATAATTACATAACAGACAGAAGCTGTTACAGGGTGTTTAATTATGTAATATATTGAAAAATTTAAAACTCCCTGTAACAGTTCCTGTTTGTTATGTTTTTATGTTAATATGGATTGAAGTTCCATTTGATTGATGAATGCAGTCCATTGATCCAAAATATCGACATTATTGATACACATTGAAATCAAAATAATTGTGCTGCTTCATGTTTAACTTGAAATATCTCGAAAATAATGACTTTATCGCTATGAAGAAAGAGTACAATATTTACGGATTAGGTATTGAAGAATCGAAAAATTCTGATAAAATTGTAATTCCGCCAGTGGCGTAGAATTTGGGAAGGATCAACCAGTCACTTGCCCCTGTCGTACGCCTCTGGTAATAGCTATAAAAGTTCATTTCACATAATTCAGTTGGATGTATAATACCTACACTTCCCTCCAAACATGAAAGTGATCTGTCAAATAGTTTAGAAGAACTGGGCAAATAACATTTCAAAATTTTTGAATAAAACACCTTGTAACTCAGACAGGAGACATATTTTATCTAGGTTATTTGGGTCAAATCTTCATATTTTGAGTACGGGATTCTATGGTTGAAATTATTTCAATTAGTAATGAAACACCCTGTATATGTATTTTGTATATTATACGGGTGAGTCAGAATAAGACCGACAAACTTCCTTACCTCATTTTGAAATGAAAAGTTCCTATCATCTTATGTCCTGAAATGCATCCTCTCTGAGATACAGGATGTCAAAAGTACGATGGAAAAAATCAAGTTTTTTATTAATTTCTTGAACCTTGGTACACTATTCCTGATTAATCAGTGTAGTCACATGGAGTTTCAATTTTTGAACAAGAATAAGACCGATTTCTTTCTGTATTTGAATATTCATAGGGAGATAGAAAGCTGTATTGTACCATTTATCGACACCTATGTGTCCTATGAAGTTCCTATGTTTATCTTGAAAAAAACACTTCATATCATGGCCATTCCGTTCACTCATCTTGTAAATTTATCATTTATACAAGGAAAGTTTCCAGATGTATTGAAAACTGGAAAGATAACCCCCATCTTCAAGAAAGGTAATCCTCAACTTCTTTCCAATTACCGACCCATTACAGTGCCATCAAACTTTTCCAAAATATTTGAGTATGCCTACCTGGATAGACTCATGGTTCACTGTTATCGACATAATATATTTTCGAGAAATCAGCATGGCTTTCTTAGCAAAAAATCTACAATGACAGCAGTACATTCCTATTATGAAAAACTTGTGGAAAACATTGAGGCAGGCGAATGTCCTGTTGGGATATTTTGCGATCTCAGCAGGGCTTTCGACTGCGTCAATCATCATATATTACTTACAAAATTATACAGGTATGGTATAAGAGGAAATTCACATCAATGGATATCAAGTTACCTGTCACTAAGACAACAGTATGTAGTGCTGAATAACACGGCATCGTACCGCTCGGATATTAACATTGGTGTGCCACAAGGCTCGGTATTGGGGCCAATACTTTTCATAATGTATATCAATGACCTGGATAAATTGCCAATACAAGGATCGATCACTATATATGCAGATGACACATCAATGATAATATCCGACAAATGCAATCTTGAACTTGCTACCAAATGTAATCAAGCTTTGCGATTGGTCAACGACTGGACCAGAGCAAATGGACTATTTCTCAATGACAAGAAAACGAATGCAATAAGATTTCACAATCGCCAAAAAAATTGTGATAAGATCATTTTACAAGTCAATGAATCTTCAGATCCAATTTCTACAGACACAAGTGATGTGAAATTTCTGGGGCTATATATCGACGAATGTCTTGATTGGCATAAAAACTCTGAAACATTGAAATCTAAACTCAACTCATTTTCATATCAATTCAGAAATCTGAAAAATGTTCTCAACAGGGTACAGTTATTGAATTTATATTATTGTCAGATTGACAGCCGACTTCGTTACGGCATTTGCTTTTGGGGTCTATCCAGTTCCGCACAAGATATTTTTATTGCGCAAAAACGCGTTGTTCGTTCTTTAGTAGGTGTGTCCAAGAAAACAACATGTCGTGACATTTTTAGGGACCTGAAAATTCTGACACTACCGTCCTTACTAATTCTAGAATCGTGTCTATATGTATTTCACAATAAAGAAAACTTTCACACGAACATTTCCCGCCACGGAGTAAATACTAGACAAAAATATGATTTTTATATCCCCTTCAGTAGGATGAATGTAACGAAAAATTCGCCCAATATCATGGCAGCGAAAATTTTTAACGCTCTACCTAATGAGATCAAACTATGTAAGACCTTAAATTGTTTCAAAAGATCCCTTAGAGTGTTTTTAGAGGAACATTCGTATTATTCTGTCGATGAATATTTTTCTCAAGTATTTTAATTCAAATCTTACGTTTTATACATACTGTTTTTCTTTTTGATTTTAATTATTACCTACTATCATATCATACTTATCAATTGTAATATTATTTTACTATTGTTGTTTTACCTGTACTATTGTATTATCCATATTCATTTTTGTGTTGTTTTGTATTGTATTGTATTGTATTTAGATATAAGTTTACCCATTTGACTATTCCTATACAATTTTTTTGCAATTGTCTACTGGAAAATTGAATAAATAAATAAATAAATAAATAAATGCCGATATAAGGTACAAAGTTTGAAAATGTATGTACTCATCTTATGCCGAATTATTGTTAAAAAACACAAATTGCAGCTTCTGAGTATTTGTTAGCCATTATCTCCATGAAGTTACGGAGAATTTTCAAACCAAAAATACCATAATTAATTCACCTGTCTCTTAGCACTTTGGACAACGATTTGTATCAGTTCACGTGTAGTGACAGAATGAGGAAATTGAATATAATTTATAGAATGGGCTTATATCACAAAAAAAAGTATTTCATAATTCGATAAAGCTCACCCAAACTAGCTCACCACCGCAAACCGTTTCTTGCTGTGAGCTCCCTACGTTTTATAAAAAATTATTGAAGTCCCCGATTTTTCGGACCTCTGAAAACGAGGCGATGATGTGACGTCAAAACCCTAATACTGAAACAAGACTATTCCAGACAAAGAAGAACGATACATGATTTCTGACAGAGTGAATTAGTGCGAGATCACAGTTGAAAAAATTAATATATCAGTTGCCTCAGTCTCCGTCGGGCGTTTGGTATTTTCTTTTAACTATGGCGAGATGAGGTTTCTACGTCATAAGAGGGTCCGTTTTCAGAAGGTATTATTTATGTCCACAAATTAAACATTCCACTTAATTTTTCGATCGAATTATGTCGTCAATCATTATTTATGTATAAAAGGATCATTATAAACATGGTTTGAGTTAAAAGTTCTACTAAGGTGTACACGCCCATTCATATTTTCTGCCTAACCGGCCGGAGCTTTTTAAGGAAAGAAGAAAAAACCTACCTGTTTCTTATTATGACATGATAATAAATGGAAGCATGAAATTTTTATTTCTTGATTTTCAGTTCGAAAGTGTCGATGATTGCGACATTGTCCTTATGGAATGTTTACCTTAGTTGGTCTATGTGGTTCGCGACATGATATTCGTGCTTTCTTCATTTCTTAGAGAAATGAACAAGCATCGCACTTGTAAAAGTCTCCTACTTCGTGTTTTAACCTAGTATGTCGACGGTTTTTCGCGATACTTTCGCAAACCTCGTCGCATATGAAACAGTGGATTTTTCCAACGTGGGTTCTCGAGTGTATTCAGAAAAGTTGGTAATGAATGAAAAAAACCAAAATGTTGATAAAAAATTATTGGTGCAGGATTTAATATTTTGTGTATAGAATATTGAATCATTGGTACAAGGTTGAATAAATTCATAAATTTAGTACACCAAAATCATTCGTTTCCAGTTTGAAATAATCAATGAATGGAGATTTTTATAAAATGATGGACTATCGGTGATCACTTCTTTCTCTTCGCGTGTTTTCGTTTGAAATGGTTTCTTACACTGGAATCATAAACGCTTTCAAAATCGCATTTTTTGCACTGAATAAATGCATTTCCGTCTGCAGTTCCGTGCACTATTTCTATGTGCTTCTTCAAATATCCCACATTGTACGTCTCATAATCACAATTAGGACATTGCTTTATATACTTCTTTCGCACTTCGTCGTTCGGTCCGTGGAACTGAAGGATGTGCAGTCTTCGAAGTCGTTCATACTTGAATTTATCCTGACAAAAATCGCACGTGTACTGGGGATTCTGGGAGTGTATTCGCTTGCGATGTTTCTGCAAGCACGTGTGATATTTGGTGGAAAATTCACACTTCTCGCACTTGAACAACACCGATCGGGACAGGCTCATGTGCACTAGGACATGTATCCGAAGAGCCGCCTTGACTTTCGTCGAGTACGAGCAATTGTGACAGTAGTAAACTTCGTTTGAACTGTGGAGGTATTGATGCTTGCACATGTTTTTCTTGTATCTAGTTTCGTAAGAACAGGAATGGCACTGTAATAGTTGACCATTGTGCTTCACAACATGCCTTTTGTACTGATCCCGACGCTTAGAGAGGAATGGGCAAGCATAGCACTTGTAACTATCTCCTACTTTATGTTCCTGTCGAATATGTCGACGATAGGCTTCGTAACTTTCGCAAATCTCGCCGCATATGAAACAGTGGATTTTTTTGCCGTGGGTCTTCGAGTGTGCGACTATGATATTTGTGTGGTTTCGACTGATGAACAAGCAATTTTCCTGTGGGCACTTGTAAAAATTGCCACGATCGCCTCGTATTCCGTGGTATCGCAGTTTCGGCAAGTGTGACTTCAGGTGAGCCTTCAAATCGAGCTTGTCTTTGGTCTCATAGGTGCATTTGTAGCAGTGAGTGGTTTTGGTTTCAGGCGAGTAACTGCACATTTTCGAGAGTAACTTCAATGCACCCTCTAGGCGAACAACTGATGATTCTCTGAAAAGAAAAATAGTTCCGTCATGATTGATCGTATATCCAACATTTGCATATCATCAATTGAATATGATCAACAACGATAATGATTCCACTTCGAGCATTGTGGCAATTTCGTAGTTGAAATTACGCCAGTCGGGCAACCAGCCACTCCCGTATGAGAATTTCAGTTTTGGAGTGATTCTTTCCTTCTGTTCTACTCAGATGGCGTTGCTTTCATATTATTGATGAAAGACGCCTCTAGGGGAATATAATGCCGACTCGAATTTTGTTTGGCTAGGCTACGCTGTGTCGGCGGTCTTAGGACTGCTCGCTGGAGACTACACTGCACTGATGAGAGTCAAAGAGCTCAAAACCGGTTTGTGGTTATCTAGCGTGGCCTGGCTAAATCGAAATCAATATACATTAAGGAAAGAATCACTTGTATCAGTATTCGTTTATACGAGTCGATGCATAGATTTCGGGAGGATGTAATTCAATGTTCTGCGTGGCATTAGCCGGGAAAGTAATTGTTCTTCTCCCGAAATCTTCCATTGTTGTTCATTTTATGACCATTGTGTGGAAATGACTTTGAGCTTTTTGTATTTTTTTTTCAACATTTCATTCCACTTTGAGCATTGTGGCTATTTCGTGGTTGATAATGATAATGAAATTCATGTAGAAGATACTGATGATGGCTTCTCACAAAATTTTTTTTAGAAAAAAAAACGATTAACCTGCAGGATTTCAGAATCAAGTCAAAATTCACAATGTTAAACTAGGATAGCTGTATAATAATTTGAAAAATCAGTGGATTGCTCGTAATAGTCCCCTCATTCAATGGCCGCCAAGTTCCCCGGACCTGACACAACTAGACTATTTCTCTGGGGTATTGTATTCCCAAGAATTTATAACCTCCAGAAGTTCAAGACAAATCCAACACCTACCTCATCTCCCTATTCTCCCAGGTACACACGATGTTCCTCGAACAGTAATGGAATTTCCTCTCGTGCACTCTAAAATATGAGTCCAGACAATCAATAGAAGAACTACTACGCATCAGCGAAGTTATTGATATCGATTTTTTTTTATTCTTATAAAACTAACTGAGGGGGTGCTGAATCCAATAGTGATTTAAAATTTTTCGTTGAAAAATCGCTAATATGATTTTTCAAATGTTAACCTCTGGCAATATACGCAGAAGGCATTGGTTTCTGAAGAAAATATCCTTCAGTTCAGTTTTTCAAGCCCCGCAAATAAAATCGAAGTTCGTCAAAATCGGTGAACTAATACACATTTTATTGAGAAGTGCTTCCAAGTTTTGTCACAATATGTATCTCAGACAATAATTTCATTTGGCGCCCTTTGATCCACAAAGCCCTCTTGTTTTCTTCAGCCCAGTCCGTCTCTGACCAGGTGTCCCAACTGTATTTATACACGCATTTTTTCGAGAACAGGTGAATTATTATCAATTTTCAAAAATGCGCAGGATGCATCAGATCAGAAATTATTTATTTGCAAATGAACCTCGAGACAAAAATTAACACGATACAACAAATATTCCTGAAAGGAATATCTTCCTGGAAAAATACTGGAAATTTCCAGTCTGACCTCTGAAAAGTTATCACCAAATTGGTACGGCAACATGGTTGTTTGAAACACTTGCAGGTCACTGATGATGATCAAAAACATCTCGAAACGTGACTTACAGTAACAGAACATGCCATGCCAGAAATAATGAAAATCGATCTCAGCCTACTCTTATTTTGATGAGCAAAATTATTGTTTTCCAAAAAAACGTCAACGCCTTGTACCAACTCAACGAGACGATTTCGGATATAGGTAAATTGGCTTAAATCGACTTGTTTTTATCCCAGGAGTCCACAGCCGAGCCATATCCCAACCTTTAGAAAAAGTTGTTCACTATACTGTTTACCCGTCGAAAATCGACAGATGTTTTTCTCTATTGTGGGGGCCCACAGAGAGATGAACTTCAATATCTTTTTTTTTTATTCTGAAATCTTATTCGCGGTCGCAAATGTCATAAGATGACGTTGCGCTGACATTCGAAACAACGGGAAAACAGCCTAACACCTGCTGCCGTAGATTGAAAGTTAGACATGTTTTCCCGTAGTTTTTAATAGCATCGCAACGTCATTCGTCAATGACCTTGGAGACCGCGAATCGATTTTCAAAACTAGCTAGGTATCACGTATTCAAACTCAACATTCTAGAAAGGAAACTGCTTCATAAATAATCAATTATTGATACAAGTCTGAACACTTTTCATTGAAAAATAAAAATATATTGGTAAAAGATTGAATATTTTTGGTATAAGATCAAATGATAAGAGATTAATTATTTTTGGTACAACATGAGAGATTATTGGTGATAACTACTGTTCTATAGGGTATTTCCGTTTGAGGTTTTTTCTCAGGCTGCTTTCATAAAAGCTTTCGAAATCGTATTCGCTACACTAGACCAGTTCGTTCTCGTCTGTAATGCCGTGCACTTTTTCTAAGTGTAGCTTCATATGTATCCCAGATTGAACGTTTCATAATCACAATCACTACATTTTTTAGGTAAGTTTTTCGCAATCCGTCGTTTGTTTCATGGTACCAAGGGATATGCATTCTTTGTGTTTTCTTTTGCAATGTTTCTGCAAGTTCCCCTGATATTTGGTGAAGAATTCGCACTTTCCGCACTTGTACCATATCGATCGAGAATCGCTCATGTGCACCAACATGTGCTTCTTAAGGCGTTGTTTGACTTTCGTTGAGTACGAGCAGTCGTGACAGTTGTAAACTTGGTTCTGTTTGTGGGCGTGCTGATGCTTGACCAAATCCCGCTTATATCTGGTTTTGTGAGGACAGAAACGGCACTGGAGTACTTTGTCTTTATGCTTCGCAACATGCCTTTCGTACTTTGACCATTCCTCAGAGAGGAATGGACAGGCATTGCACTTGTAACTGTCTCTTTCTTTGTGTTTCAGCCGGGTATGTCGACGATATGCCTGGATACTGTCGAAAACCTCGCCGCACGTGAAACAGTTGATTTTTTTGCCGTGGGTCTGATGAACAAGCAATTTTCCTGCGGGCACTTGTAAAATGTGCCACGATCATCTTGTATTCCGTCGATGTATCGTCTTTTGGGCAAGTGTGACTTCAGGTGAGCCTTCATATCGAGCTTGTCTTCGGTCTCATAGGTGCATTTGTAGCAGTGAGTAGTTTTGGTTTCTGGCGAGTAACTGCACATTTTCGAAAGTAACTTCAATGCGCCCTCTACGTAAACTACTGATGATTCTCTGGAAAGAAAAATAGTTCCGTCAAGATTGAGCGGACACCCAACTCTGGAATATGATCAATTCAATATGATCAACAAAGATAATGATACTATTTGGAACATAGAATTCTCGAACAGAATGACAATACTGCATACCTATACGTGATGCGCTAACTAAATTAGTATCTTCAGGGGGAGCATGAAACGGTCTATCGATATTATTATGCACTGAGAAAACTGGTCTAAGTAAAACGTTCACCTGGAAAAAAATCGATAGTGACAAGTACATTTCCACTAACTATAGGAACTTTAGTCATGCGGTTGGAGTGATATGTTGTGTGCGCACGTGAAACAGTTGATTTTTTTGCCGTGGGTCTTCGAGTGTGCCATTATGCGACTTCTCACGTTCAGACTGATAAACAAGCAATTGTCCTGCGGGCACTTGTAAAATGTGCCACGATCATCTTGTATTCCGTTGATGTATCGTCTTTTGGGCAAGTGTGACTTCAGGTGAGCCTTCATATCGAGCTTGTCTTCGGTCTCATAGGTGCATTTGTAGCAGTCAGTAGTTTTGGTTTCTGGCGAGTAACTGCACATTTTCGAAAGTAACTTCAATGCGCCCTCTACGTAAACTACTGATGATTCTTTGGAAAGAAAAATAGTTCCGTCAAGATTGAGCGGACACCCAACTCTGGAATATGATCAATTCAATATGATCAACAAAGATAATGATACTATTTGGAACATAGAATTATCGAACAGAATGACAATACTGCATACCTATACGTGATGCGCTAACTAAATTAGTATCTTCAGGGGGAGCATGAAACGGTCTTTCGATATCATTATGCACTGAGAAAACTGGTCTAAGTAAAACATTCACCTAGAAAAAATCGATAGTGACAAGTACATTTCCACTAACTATATATAGGAACTATAGTCAAGCGGTTGGAGTGATATGTTGTGTGCGATTATAGGAAGTCGTTGAAAATTTGCGACAAATGATGATGGATGAAGGCTCTTCTTGTGAGTGGATTTGGATGTCTTTGAAGGTTTCAAACTTCAATTCTCATATGAAATTGAACAACAGCCAGTGATTGATTATGATGGCTGATGATGGAAACCCCAAAGTGACTCACATTCTGGATTAAAGATATATTATTGGTTAAGGAAATTTGAACATTTTGTCAGTGATTATTATTTTTTGTTTCCTAAATAAGATCATGGAGAAACCCAATAAGATGAATTATTTTCCAGGTAGGTACATATTTTCAAAACTCAAGGTGGTAGAGATGGGAGAGACTATCTATATAGGGGCCACACAATGTTTCTGGTGAGGGCAGAAGGGAAACATTGAAGTCAGAGATTTGAAATCAATCAAAATATCATTATCTGTTAATATATATATATTAGATTTTTATTTGAAAAATGGAAAACAAAGCAATATTTTTTAAAATAATATAATAATAATAATAATATAATTTATAATTCATTGGTGAGGAGCCATTTGGAATACGCTTCTATTGTCTGGAACCCTTTTTATGCTGTATATATTGATCGTCTTGAGAGAGTTCAAAAAAAGTTTATAAATTACATCAATTACAAGTTTAACAGAGACCGATTTTACGAATCATATCAGAGTAATCTGATATTCTATAGAATGGATAGTCTCGTAAATCGTAGAAAAATTTCTTATGTAATCTCTTTCTCTATAAAGTTATCAACAATGAAAATGATGGTTTATTCATATGAGTAATGATTTGTCATTTAATGTTTACAATTTTAGTCCGAGAAATCCACGGCTATTTTTCATAAGCACCACTAGAACTAATTATTGTTTGAACTCTCCAATAAATAGAATGATTCAAACATATAATAATGAATTTCCTGTTGTCGACATATTTCACTTATCCTTATCATGTGTGAGAAGGACTTGTTTAACAAAAATTAGATGATTTTTCATTGATACGCAGTACATATATTATAGTATAGTATAGTTTTCTATTTGTATTTAGTGAACGATTTTTTTTTTTTCTTCTTCTATTGAACGAATTTTTTGTTAATCATAAAACCATCTGTGAATTTCATTTCTACTTTACTTCGTATATGATTGAAATTATTCCTTTTTTTCGTTAGTACGCAACCATTTGTATTAACGAACATTTACGATGTTGATTATTTTTGTTGATTAGGGTAACCCTATAACTAGGAATTAATTGTAATTTCTGTTGGGTTTCCAAATGATTGAATAAATAAATAAATAAATTAATTATCACATACCCTTCAATATCTTACTCTGATAGATAAACCAGCAGGAGGGTGGTTCTGATTAAGTCACCAGAGGTTGAATGGAGGGTTAAATAGGGAGATGAAGAAGAAAGATATAATTTGATTGCTCACAATTTTGATTTTCTGAACTTTTGAAGTATACATAATAGGTTTCACTATTTCCAAAGAAAGTTGGAGGTCATGTTTTTCAATTGTTAGTTGATGTTGTTTTAGCATCTTCTATTTAGGACATTTCATTTTATTCGATTTGAACATTATTCAGTCTAAAATTTTTTCACAATTTGATTGTTTTCAGTTGCTGATCAATTATTATACTATGTGTACTATAATGCATAATATTTGGAACAGAAAGTCTTGAAAATTTTTGAGCAGAGTTTTTTTGTACCATGTGAGGAGAATTAAAGTGAATACTGAATGAGATAGGAGATAAACCATCAAGCATTTCATGACTAATCTGTCTCTGTTACATTTTTCCCACACAATCAAAAATTGACAAATAACTCCTTTTCCACACTAGCCCACTTCCAACTCTTATGCACATTTTTATAACCATATACAGTAGGTACTCAACGCACTAAATGGACCACTCATAATTTGACTCTTTTTCGAAGACCTGTTTTTTTTTTTGAAAAAATTGACCGATTATCATGCGGTTTTCGATATCAGATGTGATATTTCAACGGCTTCAAAGAGAGCTAGAACACTATGAAAAAGTCCGAGAGAACAAAACTTAAACATGGTGTAAAGTGGAACCATTACACTATGGTCTACATTGCCAATGCTGCCAGAACTGTAGAAGTTTTTTTCTGATGAAAAGTCAGTCATATTATGATACACTGGAACCTCATCTCGGGACATTTTCGTGATTTCTCCTTAATTAGCCATTGAAACAAAAATTAGATTTTTTTAGAAATGCAATTTCTTGAACTTTTTCTCTAGAACCCCACTTGAGCTGAATATTTGGAAAAAATGTTCTCATGTTTTGTGGAGGACAATGAATAACGAAAAAAGCACCATTGTGGAATATACAGGATGATAATAAAATAGGACAAAATCCCATTTCAGTAAAAAAATCAAAAACGGTGACTAAAACCATGGCCCATTCGATTCAGTATATTCAGAAACGGCCTTCTCGATATCCATTATTCATGTTAGACTAGACTAGACGTTTTCGAAAATTCACCTCTAATTGGAATACAGGTTGAACATTCTCAATTCAAACTGTCCTGATAACTGATTCTAATCATCTGATTTGCAATATTTATTGCCCACGTATGAGACATAGAGTATTTTTGTTCAATATACTGAGTGTTTCACAACTTATCTGACACATTGCGAACTCTACAAAACAATAATGTAGGAAGAATGTTGTGGCCAGCATTATCTCCAAATCTCAATGGATTTTGTCCTATTCATATCATCCTGTATATTCCACAATAGTGCTTTCTCGCCTTTCATTGTCCTCCACAAAACATGAGAACAGTTCTTCCTAATAATCAGCTCAAGTGGAGTTCTGGTGAAAAAATTAAAAAAACGCAAGAGTTTCGAAAAAAATCCAAATTTTGTTCCAATGGCCAATTAAGGAGAAATCACGAAAACGTCCCGAGATGAGGTCCCAGGGTATCATAATATGACTGACTTTTGATCAGAAAAAAATTTCTCGAGTTCTGGCAGCATTGGAAATGTAGACCATAGTGTAATGGTTCCACTTTACACCCTGTGTAAGTTTTGTTTTGCGCAGTTTTCCAGAGTGTTCTAGCTCTCTTTGAAGCCGATGAAATATCACATGTGATATCCAAAACCGCATGAAGATCGGTCAATTTTTTCAAAAAATACAGGTCTTCGAAAAAGAGTCAAATTATGAGTGGTCCATTTAGTGTGTTGAGAACTGTATATTATCATCATCAGTAATATCAGTATAGATATTATAGAGTGTAGAGTTTGGATCACCTACTGAGATGAGGCATATGTGCATATTCCTGTGAAGTGAGTTGGTGAGGTGGAGAGGTAATTTGTGAAATTTTGATACTCATATCGTCAAGTAGTTTCATCAATTTGTAGCTGACATTTTTACATTATAGGGATGCGAATTTTTCATAACATCAAGAGAATGTTATGTAATATTTATGTCAGTTTGTTATATACGTAACATTTCATTTAGAGCAATGAAATTATATAAAATATATATAAAACAGTGACATAATTGTTATGTTATAATCATGTAGTATTTGGTGCGGACATTTCGCCATAACTGTGATGTAAGTCTCACATAACATAGTTACATAACACGTATTGTCAGTTATGTAACAGTTATGTCAATTTTACATAATTGTGTTTGCTGAGTATTATTACATGCCTATATATGCTCATGGTCGAAATTCCATGTTTTATCCCTTGACATTGACGTTGACTTATGTCAACGTCTTGCCTACGTCATTTGACATTATTTTCAGTGTTTTCTAACCAAATAAGTTCAGATCTAAGCACGTGACGTCAACACGTGCTGGCTGTTTGCCCCCTCAATTTCATTGATATTTTCCTTGAGTAGCGCTTTTATAAGGGCACGGGGGACCCCTTTTTTTAAAAACCTCGTTAATTTATGGTGTTGTTAAAACAAACCTTTTGGCAATACCCTTCATCATATACCATTTTGGTATATGAAATTTCAATGAAAATAATGGTATGCGCTCTCAGACTACGAGGCCTTCATTTATTGAGAACCCGTTTTTTCATTCATTTTCGACTATTCCACAACTAATAGCATCAAAGAATTATAAATCTGAGCATCCAAGCAGTCGCACGGATTAGTCTTGTCCAAGTAGAGAATCTGGAAACTTCTGGTAGAGACTCATTTAGGATTGAAGATATTTCAGTGAATGATACACCCACAAAAGCTTTCTTGATTTCAGATGTATCATCGAGGTCTGTATACATTCTGTATAAGGCCATTCTTTCATATCTAGTTTCAAAAAATCTGGACCGCTCACCCACCTGTTTCCTGAACTACCATGGAAGTATTTTCCATCTCGAGTTGCTTCATCAGCTACGTTTTCTTTGGTAGATATCAAAGTCCACTGTCTCAAGTTAGTTGTTTCTGTTATTTCTACCACCCTGTGAGCTACAAAAGGCTTGAAAACTGTAGCATCTGTTTTCAACCAACTAATAACAGTTTTTGAATCTGTCCAGTAGTAACAGGAATTAATTTTGATGTCGTGACTTTCTTGGATAGTAACTGATAACCTGCTACCCAAAACAGCAGCTTGGAGTTGGAGCCTTCGGATAGACATGGGTTTCAGAGGACTCACTCT